AGAGCTGCTGTTAGCTCAAAGTAGAGCTGCTGTTAGCTCAAGGTAGAGCTGCTGTTAGCTCAAAGTAGAGCTGCTGTTAGCTCAAAGTAGAGCTGCGGTTAGCTCAAAGTAGAGCTGCGGTTAGCTCAAAGTAGAGCTGCTGTTAGCTCAAAGTAGAGCTGCGGTTAGCTCAAAGTAGAGCTGCTGTTAGCTCAAAGTAGAGCTGCTGTTAGCTCAAAGTAGAGCTGCTGTTAGCTCAACGTAGAGCTGCAATGCTAAATGGATGTAATATAGCGCAAGGCAGAGCCGCAGCAAATAGCTAGATAACACCAGTTGTGAGAGTGGACCCATGAAACCAGCACTCCGTTAGCTAAGCACTATTGACGCACAGCAAGGGTCAATTAATGTCAGCACAGGCAAGCATTGCGCAGCTAGAGTTCAGTAGCTCATTACTCACCCGAGTTGGGGATCATGGCATCCATGGCACGGCAGCAAGCCGGGACGATAGCTGGCGCTATGCGCTTGTTGTAGTCTGGATGTAGCGTAGACATGCATCGCTCTTTCCACTGACCTGCCACTCGGAAGAAGGAGTCGGGAGCACTAGCCATAGCAGCGGTGGTGGCTGCACCAATGTGGACCGAATGCCCGGAGTAGTTCGACTGGGATGGTACACCGGCCGCAGCGACAAGAGACCATACTGTTACTGTGAATGACTGCCTGGTCGGCTGCTGTCTGTTCGAGAATACGAACAAGAGTTGCTCCGGTCCCTCGCGACGAGTGACAGATGGGTAGCTAACAATGGCACGGGCCGGGCAGTACGGCGGTACAGACGGGCCAATGTCACTAGTAACGCCTTTACCGAATGGGTCCGTCTTGGATGAAAGCAGGAAGAGTTGCAGGCGTCCGTCACCAGGGGAGCTAGTACAGCCCCGTGGGATGTCATTAGTGAATTCAGCGCACCGAAGAAATCCAAAGAAGCATGGCGGCTTGGTAGAGCAGCTTGTCATGGCCATTCAGGATACTACTTTTCCAGCGTGCATCCGTCAGGTGTCGTAGGATTGGCATAGTTATAGGAAGGCGAGGGGTGAAAGCAGCCGTACCATGGCATCGCTGGATGCCCTTCAACGCCCTCTTCAGAAGCCACGCATCTACTAAGGGGCCGGCAAACCCATTCTCAAGGTGGGCTTTATGCACCGCACTCGCCTACACAGATACAGTTCAGGGCACGCTGATCATAGTTCACGCATGAATGTGTGTCCAGGAACGATGACTCGGGCAGCAAAAGTGAGCTTCCCCAGGAGGGACTCGAGTTGACGCTGGCCGATGCTGCGCTCGCTGATAGTAGCCATGAGTAGCGCACGGATCTCGGACAGCTTGTCCTCTGGTAGCCGAGCTTCGTGGCGCTCGCAGTCTAGGACAATACCAAGGAAGGTCAATGATGGTGATGGCCCTTCGAGCTGGGATGGAGCAAAGAGGAGTGCCGAGATACGTGAACGCCCGGAGGGGGATGGTGAGTTGCTGGTTGGCTGCAGCCAAACCAGTGGAGATATCGAGAAAGTCATCGAGGTAGTGAAACCGGTGATCTATAGCAAACTCGTGCTGCATGATCCAGTTGACTACTGTGGCTACTGAGTCAAAGACGGCTGGGCTGGAGCGGAGGCAGAAAGCGCTCGTAGTAGTAGGAGCCTTCCCAGCGAAGTCCTGACGGCGGACTGGGATCTGCCGAAATGCACTGCGTACATCGAGCTTGGACAAATACACAGGCTGTGGGCATGACATGATGATGTTGATCGCGTTGTCAATGCTCGCGTAGTGCAGAGAGAGCGGCTCGGCAGGAATGCTGTCGTTCGCGCCGGTGCCTTCCGGACTAGACAGATGGTGGATCATTCGCGGCTTGCCGTTCTTTTTGGGGATGGCACCAATACCAGAGCGGCGCATGAACTGAAATGGAGGTGACGGAAATGGGCCTGTGGTCTCGCTGCGGGCGCAAGAAGCAGCTAATTGCTCGGGTATAAATGCCGAGTGAGTGAAAGCCAATGGTAGATTATTAGAGAAAACCAAATGTCGTGTTGGCCGGCAGATCCAAGAGTAAAGCCACGGCGCAGGCCATGGAGAACATACGCAACACATGATTGATCTGAGTGGTTACGTAACAGGCAGGCAGAGTGGTCAGCTAGCAGTGTGGTGTCTGCAGAGTGTATAGGAAAGAATCTACGTACCGAGTCAAGCGATTCAGTAGCCATTCTGCTAGGAGCGGCGGGGTGGCCGATTGGCTCTGCGCTGCTGCTGGTTGCACATGATGCATGGGTGGTCCTTGCCACACTGGCTGCAGGTGTGGGAGAAGCGGCACGACGACGAAGAACAGCGACCTCCATTGAAGTTGCGGCAGATTTCTGAAGAACAGCGACCTCCATTGAAGTTGCGGCAGATTTCTTGGCCGTCGCTGGTATGGTTGCGACCACTGGAGGTAAATGCTGCTGGCTTCGGGACGAAAAGGACACAAACCGCCCCTGGATGGACCGTCTTACATTGAGCGCATTTTGGGTGTGCATGGCCTGTGACAGCTATCTGCCATAGGTTCACGTCGATGGTGTCCAACCTCTTCGTGCCTGGTTACTGGGCCACGAGCATCCGCAGCTGGCGGTCGTACTCTAGCCACGCGCTTGGGAAGAACTGGCAGTTAGCAGTCAGGATCAACTGCTGGTACGCAATCAGTTCAGCAGTGCGGTGTAGGGCAGCAGCCGTGATAACAGACATGTATGTGGTCCATGCCTCGAGCCGGGTAGCTACATGTGTAATTATCGTGAACCTTGCGACGCACCTGCTTCGCGTCATCCGACTCAACGATATTTAGCTGGCTATCGTTATTCGGGCTGTGCACCAGCCGGAATCACAGTGTTGGGCCGGAAGTGTGCAAGAATTTCAGGCAACAAACTTGAAAAATCTACGAACTCCCCTCGCAAGATACGTTCTTGCACAGCCTTGGGCACAGCTGGTGCAGGTGGCTGATCGGGTGGGTTGCAGGAGCTTGGCCTGGCGTAGTGGCGGCAGCTGCCGCATTGCCTTGGCCTTGGGTGAGGAGCGGCGCAATGCTCTCCGATAATACGTAAATAAGATACGTTCTTGCACAGCCTTGGGCACAGCTGGTGCAGGTGGCTGATCGGGTGGGTTGCAGGAGCTTGGCCTGGCGTAGTGGCGGCAGCTGCCGCATTGCCTTGGCCTTGGGTGAGGAGCGGCGCAATGCTCTCCGATAATAAGAAGATGGCGGCCGACAAAGCCGACTACACCTCGTCCCGTACGGGAGCGCAGAGATCCGTTGAGCCCGCGTCGCCTGAGCTGGCGGAGGAGGCATTGGTGCACGTCGGGCTTCTGGGCTCGCGAGCCGTGTCCGCACTGTCATGTTGCTGGTTCTCCTGGCCGGAGCAGACCTCACTACCAAGGGCTAGTTGTGCCAGCAAACGGTCCTGTAAAATACTTTTACTAAGTTTCCTTTCGGATTCAAGCCGCGCTGAGAAGGCTCGCCGCGGAGGGCTTGGCAAGGCATTGCCTTGACAGTGTCGACAGTAAGGTCAGACATACTGAAGAAATACAGTGTCGAGGTGACACTCGGGCTGGCAGCAAAGCTACGAAAGGAAAAGAAACACTGCTGAAGCACGATCCGTTGTCTGGAAGAGCACAACAGGGCAAGCAAGATTTGTTTTTCTTTTCCGCAAAAATGGGCTGGTGCCATTTGTGATTACACAGCAAAACAAAGCGCATGACGTCAGTCTTGAATGCAGTACAAAGCAATGCAGTGCAGTGTGTGCGCTAGTTCGGATTGTTGGTAACAAGTACTAGCACAGCTAGTACACCATTAACACAGTACAATCCCAGTTGATAATTTTAGTGGAAGTCGATTGTAACATAATTATGCATTGGCAAGCGTGCATGTGTGTGTGTGTGTGTGTGTTGGGAGAGGGGGGGGGGGGGGGGTGGGGGGGGGGGGGGTGGAGGGTGAGTGCATGTTTGATGGGTGTGTGTGTGTGTGTGTGTGTGTTGGGAGGGGGGGGGTGGAGGGTGAGTGCATGTTTGATGGGTATGTCAGCTAGTTCTGTTGGTGGGTGCTCTGAAGCCAGATTGTGACTGCGTGTGTTGCCATCTACTATACATGTATTACAGTATTACGTTCACTGGGGGGGGGGGGGGGGGGGGTAAGTGCTGTCAAACCCTTTTCTGCACCATGTCCTAAACCACTCACACATGTGTGGTGAGCCATAAGTGGAATAATTTCCCGAAGTCCATCCAGAGTTAGTCGATTTCAGTATAAGATATCTGCCGTTGGATGGATCGATAGCCAATCCATCATCTCAAGATGCCTTTGAATCCCTTGCCCTTCAAGCTTTGGACATGAGCATGTAAAAGGACAAGCGCATTGGTATGCAGTTTGAGGGCATTGGTGTGACGTGGGTGGGTGGAGCCGTTTGAGTGTGGGTGGGCGGGTCCATTTGGCTTGTGTTTGTGTGGGGGCTTGAGGGTGTGTACACGATTGTGTGTGTGGGTGTGGGTGTTTGTGCATGTGCAGTGTGTGTATGTGCGAGCATGTGTGTGTGTGCATGTGTGTGTGTGTGTGTGCGTGTGTAGTGTGTGTGTGTGTGTAGTGTAGTGTGTGCGTTTATGTGCAAGCATTGGTGTGTGTGTATGTGTGTGTGTGTGTGCATGTGCGTTTGTGTGCGGGAGCGTGTTTATGTATGAATATGCATGTGGGTTCCATTGGCATACCGGTACATCACTACATGTTTGTGTTTTAGAAAGCTTCATAAAGCTCTGTCACAGCCCAACCACCAAATCTAGTTGTAAGTTGTCTGCAAATGAATTACATATCTCACAGGTTTACACACACACTTGAGGTGAATCAAAAGCATTTAAGCTGTAACTCTGAGTTTCACGGTTATAATCGATAATCAGACAACAAATCACAGGTGTATATTCTTCTATGTACACTGGTACTGTACAGGTTGTGCCATGCAGTGGTGAGACAGGAT